TAATCATGCAGTAACTACTCTATCCAGTAATTATTAGTAACTTCAATAGAGTTATTATGGAATCACGCTGAGGAGCTAAACAAACATAGCATTTTGTTGTCTCTGTTGAATAAGTAGTATTCAGCTGGGATATACTCAGGATTAGATGTTTCTTGAAAAAGTTCAGGACTGAGGAGCTGTAACTCATTTCATAGTTTTTATGCGTTTTTGCATATATGCAAGTGCAAAAATCACTTTACTATTCCACGTCCAGAAGCTTTGTTACCTAGAATTTTCTGGACAAGAAAACCATCGACTATGAATGGTTGTTATTGATGAGACCTTATCAGTGAATGGTTGTTGATGTTAAGTGCACTATCATGGTCGGAAGGTCGTCATAAGGTATGGAATGTAAAAGTATCAATCAACTACGTTATTATCATTATGCTTTAGCTAAACAACTATTATATTAAGCTTCAATTGAGAAGCTTAATATAATAGTTGTTTAGCTAAAGCATAATGATAATAACTTAGTTGATTGATACTTTCTCAGATTATTCCTCTTATTTTCCACCTTTGGTTTTTGGTGTCTCAGTTTCCACATCTTCAAATCGCACTGTTTTCGATTGGTTAAATCTCTCAAATTGGAAGAAAGTAAGCGAGCGCTAGATCGCCAGCAAGCCAATTATAGGATCTTGGTCAAAGTAACTGGTAAAACTGTCAGTTGCATCGGTGGAGTTACTACATATGAAGCTGAGAAAAGTAAAAATCTGATAAATTCGCCCGAATTTTATCTCTAACTTGCCGACTTCTCTCCCGTGAGCTTTATTCAGACATGCAATATATACCGGAATAATCAGACGTGCTTAGATAGAATCGAGAAGCAAAATCAAAAGTCAAAATCACCTTCGCATTCATTCTCTGTGAGAGACTGAGGCACTTGGAAGTACTCGGTTGATAACAAGTGCAACCACTCGTTGGCAGATTGTTGATGGCACCTTCTTTCGAAGTTTCTTATGAGCATGCTGTTGGTAGGGCAAGAGTTACTAGTAAAAATATAGTGAGATTTACAAACAGTGGATTTGGGATAGGCGGTAAGCACTCGAAACAATTGAAATAGAGCTTCTCGAATGGTTTCCATCTCACCATCATTGTTTGCACAGTGAATTGAAGAGCATCGCCGCACTGAGTTTCGGACTCCTCTCGCACATCGTTGCTCGTACAACTCGGTACTCGGTCAGTCTGCATCGGTACTCTCTGTTGGCGGCACCTCTAACCTCACGATTGTTCAAAACTAAATTCATTCAATTGCTTCTCATTTTTGTTGTTCCAAAAATTTCGTTTACCGTAATTCATTAATTACCTCACGCTGGCTTGTTTCGTA